TCTCTCTCTCTCCTCTCTTCTCTCTCTCTCTCTCTCTCTCTCTCTCTCTCTCCTCTCTCTCTCTCTCTCTCTCTCTCTCTCTCTCTCTCTCTCTCTCTCCTCTTGTGTCTCCCGCGTGTCGCGAGTTAAGCCATGTCCTCTGAAATGATCCTCCCGAGCGGCGTCAGCCTAGCGTGCGGTTCTTCTCTTCGTTCTTCCGATAGAACCGCGCCTCGGCTAGTCGACGTGCTTCCGATCTGTAACACGCAAGTTAGATTCTCGTCAGATCGACGTGAAGTGTGTAACGATTACTTTAACATTTAGTGAATCAGCCCGCGATTATCACGTCTCCGTACATGTCTGATTATTTATTCGTCTTATAACTTTATTATACCGTTTGCAATTTTATTCAATTTTACAAAATTGTATTTTATCTTTATATTTATTAAAGTTTATCAATATTATACAGGAAGTTGACTACTTTATCGTATTTACTCCGAAAAATTATGTTCATTAATTAAACATACCACTATCTATCTCTATTTTTATCTTGACTTGATAGAAATTTGACGGATAGTTACTGTAAGATGTGGCAACAGATGTCATGAGATGGAGCAAACTTAGCGAGGCAACACAATCTGTTTCGTTTTCTTTGCAAAACAACGCCAAGATGCGCCTTGTCGGCGCATTCTTAGGTTGATAGACGTGCCACTTGCCGTGCATTGCATGCAGTGCATTCCAGCGGCACAATTATTGTTTCAGAAAGAAACGAGAGACAACTGTTACTTCGCTACGGTAATATGCTATCTTACGGTACAAGTGCATCGTTGCAAAGTATTTTTTTATTTTGCTAAATCTACACATCTTCGTTCACAAAAGTTACAAATAAAGCTACTAATATATTTTAATGTAATACAAATTTAATTGAAAAAATTGCAAAAAAAATAAAAACTGAGATATTTATTTATTGGAAAATTTAATAAATACAATAAATTAAAATATAAATAATATTTTTCTTGAAACTAAAACGAAGTTCTGTATTAAAAATGACTAAATATAGGATATGCTTTACTAATTAATAATAGACAATTAAAATTTTATGTTTTCCAAAAATGTAACTTTTTGGAGCAACTTTAACGAGGAAATGCTTGTTTCAGAAGTGAGTTTGTTAAGTTGGCGAGTGCAATTAATTTGGTATCGCGGTCAACCTTTTCGAAAGCCTTCACTTTGTCACATTGCTTTCATAAACGATGCTTGATAGGGAATAAGTCTTCGGGGACACTTGGTCGATGGCCAACAACCAACGGACCCGTGCGCGTCGTCTACCGACGTTCTCTTGGGAAAGCACAAGAACGTGTCCTGAGCCGGCGTAAATCGAGTTGTTAGCTTCGATATAACATGTTTAGAAACCACTCCTGTATATCGCCCAAAGACGCTCACTGGCCGCGGAACGTATATATATACGTATATATGTCTGAAAAACTTTTGTTGCGACTGCAAGGCTGCATCAAGGGACGTGGCCATGTCTCGCGCCAAATTACGTGCAGCAAGCGAATCATGTATAGTCACTCATCCTCTTACAAGTTTGCGCGCCGGCCGGCAACGCTTGTTTCGTGTTTTATATCGAAAAAATTAATTTAATTTTCGTAATTAAGACATATCTCAAGTCACAAATCACTCACGCAAAATAAGTGAATTTTGTCGGAAATAACTTTCAAATGCAATTTGTTTTTTGTTGCAACTTTTCTGTGCAAAGATGTCAACATTTATCCCGATCCCGATCTAGACTGAAGCCGACTAATGATACAGCTAGTTGGCGACCGACATTGAACATGACCTACCTCCTACTACTACTGATCAGCTGATCGCAGTAATGTAATAGTTTATGTAACATTACGCGTAATCGCGCGTGTTGCGTCCATTCAGTAAATGGTGCGCTGAATTTTTAAGCGATTTTTAAAACTCGGCGAAAAATTAACACAGCAACATACGAAAACGAATCTTTTGTACGCAAATGCCTACGTCCAATTCTGATACGACATTCTTATTTTTACACCGAGCGAAGGAGGTGCCTAAAGCACACATTTATTCTGGTCCTCAGAAAAAAAAAAAAGGAAAATTTCCGTCCGATGTAACAAACTAAAAACTTTTTATTTACAAGATATAAATAGCGCTTAATTTTTAAGCTATTTATCTTTTATTTCTGCAAAGTGTGTGAGCAGTATAAGGGTTTAGAAACCGTTCTATCCGCCCACCTCTTCTCGATCGTTCGGCTTTCACCCCAAGCGCGCAACGTGCAATCTTCTCATTTCGCCAGGATTCTCCTCTCTCTCTCTTTCTCCTTCCATGTATCGCACCTACAAATTGGTATTCCCACTTAGAGAGGAATTCGTGTCAGGAAACGATTAATTTTACCGACGGTATTTTGGCCGCGATCCAACCGCCTCGCGTCAGTACGACTAGCGCGAGAAAGAAGAACGAGAACGAAGAGAGAAGGAGATATGTAGATGGATCTCCCAACAGAGAGTAGAATTTATTTCGTGTTCTCTAAAATCGAATCCTCTCGGAACGGTATATCTGATACATTATTGTACGTGATAATGAATGGTCGGTGCAGAAAATAAAAGAATAATAGATGACAAAATATTGCACCAAACGGATTAGTCTGAAATTAAAATAATTTATAGCTTCATAAATGTATAAACAAGTTTCATAAATGTATAAATTATTTATATCTTGACATAATATCAAATTGATATTCAATTATGCGTACAAAAAAATGTTAAACAGCAACAGTTATTTATCACCAAAGATAAATGATCGTGCAGCAGCTCTTAGAAGAATTATATTAACATAAATTGCACTAAAAAAGATTAGTGATTTTTTCTGTTTTGATATAGTTTTGTTTACTTAAATTTGATGTGATTAAACTATCTTTATAAAAAGTTTCGAAATTTCTTCCGGATTTATATTCTGAAATCAAGCAACGCGTCAAAGTACTTGTATAAATTTTAACACAACTGTTCGTTGAGCAAAGTAAAATATATATCGTACTTAATATTTTTAGATTAGTTCTATTCGCGCAGAAAGGCGCAAAAATAAGGTAATATATATCCGAGAGTTAATCGGAAGTCGCGAAATCGCACGATCGTAGCGAAGCCGGAAACTCGCCCCGGTCTTAAATTACACCATTCCTAGCATTAAGTTACAAGTTAATCGCGTGACTTGAACGAGTTTTGCGACGAAAATAATATCCGGTGGCATTTATGCCGCGTGAGATAAAGACGAGTTGTTAAGGCGGGGTACACCGAGGGTATCGCGCATAACGTTCGTTTTCGCCGTTCGTTGCCGCTCTCGTAACAATTCCATGAATAGAGAGCTGGACGAGATTCCTGGGAGAACAATTGGTGAGCCCGAACTATTCTGTATTGTGGGCGCAGCATTCTGGCAAACCTCGATCGTAATGACGTCAATCAAGTCTACCACCGATGGTGACCGGGGGAGAATTCACCTTGTTAACGGAGTCGAGTTAACTCGCGAATACCTCGCCTTAAGATCACAGAGCTAACGAGATGTACTCGGGAAATGAAACCAGAAACAAGCTAACATTACAAGTAAAATAATACTTTGTTCTTTATAAAAAGAAAATCGCCCAAAAAAAAAAAAAAAATAATTAAGATAAAATAATAAAAATGTTACGCTTTAATAAAAAAAATCTAGAAAAAAATTACAAATTTTTTTTAAAGCG